CTCTCTCTCTCTCTCTCTCTCTCTCTCTCTCTCTCTCTCTCTCTCTCTCTCTCTCTCTCTCTCTCTCTCTCTCTCTCCCTCCCTCCCTCGTCTTCTCTACCCACGTCTTCCTCCTCATACACGAAGCCCACCACCACCTCCACTGGCTATCCAAGCCAAGCTCTGGCTATGGCGCTGCCCTCAGCAGCGCCCTGTATTCTTCCAGCGCCCACGCGCACTGCCTAGCACCTAGTCCTAGTGCACAGTGCACAGCGGCGAGCGTACGATCAAGCAGCGCTGCCGCATACACTGCCTAGCGGCCCTGTTATGATCTTGGTTGTCTGATGAATTTTATCGCCACTCACACACAGACAGTCTCATACATGCCCATACATGCATAAGAGAAGTATACATGCATAAGAGAAGGGGAGAGGAGACAGAGTCCAAACTGCACACAGGGGAAAGTAGGCACCGGAAGGCAATCATGCACAGATGGGGAGAAGACACACAATGTATCTCACTCTTTGACAAAACTCCCAACAACCAATCACAAGAAAGAACCTGCGAGGATAACAATTGAAATTGCACTGATCATGAGCCAACTCAAACGATTATCGTAACAGAGTTTGTTCCAGTAGCCCGCCACCCTCAGAACTCATACCCTACTCTCTATCCTACACCCAGTTAGTAGCGCCACATCAGAATGGCCTCCTAGAGGCCAGCGCCAACCACCCTGATGAAGAACAGGTCCTGCGATGAAGCCTTTAGTGCCGATGGACAACTCTGACGAAGGAACAGGCAGCTATGGCTGCCACCACCCACGAGTACACAGTGTAGAGCCTCGATGTAGCCCGGCCAGATGCAGATACCCCAGTGGTAGATGCGCTGAGGATGCCCAGCTATGGCAGGCTCAGACTGGGCCGGCTATGGCTGCTGTCAACGGCGAGGTCTCAGGATGCCGCCTGCAGACCAACTCCACTACCAACTTGCTTGTCTTCTCCAACCCTGCTTCGCGAGAAATGAACTGCCAAAAGTTCTGAACCGATGGTCCTAACCTATCTATAGACTACACTAGACCTAGACCGGACTGACTGACCGACCGGTACCGTTGCTGTTTCGGTCTCTCGGCCTCTACCGGACCCGACTATAGGCTCTAGGACCGTCTATCAGTATAGGCCACTTAGGGCCTGTCTGTCCTAGGGGTAGCCCAGGCCTGCTGTACCCAGTTAGGGTAGCTGTAGGAATTCAAGTTAGTACTGGGCCTATTTTTCCCCAGATTTGCAGATATGTCCATCACGAATTTCCTTACAGGTAGGTTTCTTGGTTAACCCTCAGCCAAACAAAATTGTGAATCTAACCTACTGTTGTACTATACAGCCTCGCAGTCAGTCTCGGCAGTCAGAATCAGCAAGTCATTGCAGGCTTACCCTCCCCGGGAGCGAGGACCTCCAAGCTAGGGGTGTAGGCGAGGTGAACGGCGAGGAAGGTTTCCCTTCTGAGCCGCTTCATATCGCAGGACAACTGACTTTGCTGTCTTGAGAAGTTCCCTTCTGTTGAACCATCTGTTCTCAGAAGGAGGCTGGAATGCGAACCTCACAAGATACTGCCGGTCGGGGCCGGTGCCCCACTCATCCTCAATCCATTCCACGTCATATCCCTTGTCAGGGATCGGTGGACCAAACTGAGGGGGCCGGTCTGGGAATGCATCAGCTGGAGTGAAAGGTAACAGCTTGGATGCATGAAAGACCGGGTAGGTGCGTAGATGCAGCGGGACGTCGATAACGTATGACGGACCGAAAGGATCAGCGCCCACTGTATCTAGGACCTGCCATGGACCCAAGTAACATGGCAACAACTTTGGAGAACCTATCCACGCATGATGCCCGTGTCATGATGCCCGTGTCATGATGCCCGTGGCAAGGGAATGAACTCTGCGTATTTGGAGAACCTGTCCACGCAGACCATAACCTGACGCATGCCACGAGGGGTGGTCTTGCCTAAATCTATGAAGTCTATCGCCACAGATTCAGCAGGGCCGTCAGGTATGGGTAAGGGTTTGAGCAGTCCCAAAGGAGGTTTACGATGGACCTTACTCCTTTGGCAGAGCTCACAAGTGTCCACATAACGCAACATATCACTCCGCATCTCCTTCCAGAAGAAGCATTGCGACAGGGCTGCATATGACTTTAGGAACCCAAAATGACCACAGGCATCATGACACTCTGACATCAGTAGTGTCCTAAGTTGCTGGTCCTGGGGAATGCACAAGTGCTCCTCACCTCTACTGTAGGTATACAGCAGGTCTGAACTCAGAGCATAGCCTGGTTCAGAGTTAGGATCCGCTTGCAGACTCCTGACAATGCGTCCGAAAGTCTCATCCTGAGGCAGTAGACGAGCAATGGTCTGACGGGTCTCCTCTCCAAAGGAGTGAGTAGAGGAGATCAACACAAAAGAGTCAGGCCTACGAGAGAGGGCATCTGCTACTTTGTTGTAGCGGCCCTTCTCATGCTTCAGTTCAAAGTCAAACATGTCAATGAACTGAATATACCGCGCCAACTTATCATTCAACTCTCCGTGGGACTTCATCCACTGCAAGGTGGAGTGATCTGAGAAGATCTTGAAGTGCCTTCCCAGGAGAAAGTGCTTCCAATGTTTCAGGGCACAGACAAGAGCATACAACTCTTTTTCGTAGGTAGAGTTCTGGAGCTTTTGAGTCTTGATCTTCTTACTCATAAACTCTACAGGTCGTAGACCATTCCCATCATCCTGCTGAAGAACTGCCCCAATGCCATACTGACTGGCGTCAGTGGTCGGGATGAATGGCAAAGTGGGGTCAGGTAACGTCAGCACAGGCCCACGAGTCAAGGCCTTCTTGAGTCGTGTGAAGGCCAACTGACAGGAAAGGGACCAAAGAAAGGGGGTATCTTTCTTTGTTAGGTTGGTCAGGGGTGCAGCCACTGCAGAAAAGTTCCTGACAAACTTTCTGTAGTACGAGGCTAGACCCATGAAGGACCTGACATCCCTCACTGTCTGTGGCTGAGGCCACTCCTGAATAGCAGCAATCTTGGCTGCTTCAGGAGCCAGGCCATCTCCAGAGATTACATGACCCAGATAGATAACAGAGGGAACTCCAAAAGAGGATTTCTCTTTGTTGATCTTGTACTGGCTGTCACGTAACGACTGAAGGACAAGAGCCAAGTGCTCCACATATTCCCTGGCAGTTTTGCTGAATACCAGGATGTCATCCAGGTAGACAACCATAAACTTGTCCAGGTAAGGCCCGAAGCTGCGGTGCATCTCTGTCTGGAAGGTGCATGGGGCATTGCAAAGTCCAAATGGCATGACCAGAAACTCGTACATCCCATACCTGGTCTTGAAGGCTGTCTTGTAAACATTCTCCTCTGCCATCTCAATCTGGTGGTAGCCAAATTTGAGGTCGACTTTGCTGAACACTATGCAGCCCTGCACCATGTCCAAGAGATCATCAATCCTCGGAAGTGGCTCTGTGCTCTTCCTAGTGATCTTGTTGAGACCCCTGTAGTCAGTACACATTCTGAACTCGCCGTTCCCTTTGGGCACAAAGAGAACAGGTGCACCAAATTCAAAAGTGTTGGGTCTGATCCAGCCCTTGCTGGTCAGGGTCTCAAGCTGCTTTCTGAGCTCCTCAAGCTCAGCAGGGGATATCCTGGAGATGCGGCCCTTGGGAGGAACCGCTCCAGGCAGCAGCTCGATGTGATGCTTGGTTGGCCGGTTGGGTAACCCAAAGGGCTCCTGCATCAGATCAGCATACTGATCTACCACCTGCTGTATCTCAGGAGGACAGGAAACAGGGGGAGCATCTGTTTGCTTGACCAAAGTAATAAACAGACGCTCGTGGTGGTACTGGCGTAAGAGAGCATGAAACTCCCTTGCTCTCAGGCAGTAGCAAGATGTTTTAGGGTGGTGATCAGCAACAATCATGCATGGCTGATACACACCCTGGCTATTAGGTAGCTCAACCTTTGGGACCTGCCAGTCGATCCTTGGGTTGACTGCCTTCAGCCACTGCATAGAGAACACCAAGTCAAAGGGCAGCTCAGGGAAAATGTAGAAGTTCAGACTGTGTCTGACTTCTCCGGCACTGTCGAAGGTCACAGGGATACCCTTGATCTTCTCCCTGATGCTGAGCACTGTAGAGTTACCAATCTTCACCAGCAGTGGTTGCTGCAGCTGCTGAACTTTCATGCCCAGATGCAGTTTTTTAACTGCACTGGGAGACATGAAGTTCCTGGTGGCTCCACAGTCCAATAGCCCAGTGATCCTGGCGCGGTTGACCAAGGACTGAAGCATGATGAGATTAGACTTGCACTTCTTCTGTTCCTTCAGGTGAAGGAAGAAGGTTGCAAGTGACTGAAGCTCATCCTGCCCCGGGTCCTGATCCGGGTCAGGATCCTCATAGCAAAAGGATGCTGCCCGCACAGTCCCCAAACAAACATTGTCACCTACAGTCTTAACTGAAACAGCTGCAGATTCACCTATCTGAGTAGATGAAGGTGCAACACTGGGGGGAACTACATTCCCCAGGGTCCGTTTCAGTTTTTTGACTGTCCTGGGCCTGGCATGTAAGGGAAGTCCCTTAGGAAATGATGTCCCTCACATCTCAGGCAGACCCCTCGCTCCTTCCTTCTTCTCCAGACTCCCTCTCGGATCTTGAGGTCATGCCAGGGGAGTGTGGAGGGATTGAGAGGGTCACCTGGCATGCGGACGTCTTTGGGCAAGTTAGGGCGCTGGGAAGAGGAAGGTCGGCGTCCCTTTTCCTTCCCTTTTGCACTGGATGCGGCTGTGGTGGGAGAAAATTTCTTCTGCTGCTGCAGAACTCCTAGAACAGCCTGAGTCAAGGCTGCTGCAACATCTGTCTCAGGAGCAGATCCAGTCCCAGCTGAAGGTGCATCAGCCTGGGAATCTCAATCTGAACCTGATGCAGATCATGCATGAGTAAAGGCTGCCTTTCCCTTTCTGCCACCTCTAGGGAAGGCACCTTTCCTCCTGTCAGAGGATGGTGCCTGGACATGAAGCTTTGCCTCCATGTCCAGGGCTGCACGACCAAGGGACCTCCAGTCCTTGTGCCCAGCGCTGTACAGTGCAACAGCAAACTTCTCAGGCGCTGCCCTGCAGAAGTTGGTCAGCAAATCATCAGTTGACATGACCAACCCAGGGGTGGAGGTCAGCTGATCGAACTCAGCAAACAAGGCCTGCAGGGTACCGCTGTATCGCTGCTGCCCCAGGCGAGCAATCCTGTCAGCAACCTTGCAGGCCCGCTCCTTGTCTGCGAATCGGTCCTCCAGGGCTTGCAGAAGTTTGTCCACCCCAAGCTCAAAAGCCCAGTCCTCCATGGACTGCTGGAGACTGCTGGAGGTTGAAGTGGCCCACTTCAGAGCGGGTCCCTCCAGCAGCCCCAGAACAGTTGCCACCTTGGTCTGTTCTGCACAGACAAAGCCCCTCAAGTAGGCTTTGGTCCCAGCAGCCTAGTCCCCAACATCGGTCTAGGGGTCATCACCCCTGAACTTGTTGGGTGTCGGGATCTTGGGACCTCTTTGATCCCCTGCAGTAACAGCAGCATAGGTGGCTTTGTCTGGGGTCTTTTGGGAGTGAGATGGTGACCGGGAAGAATTTGCTGAACCAGGGGGAGTGGAAGGGCATGAAGAAGGAGGAGAAGGTTTGGGTTTCAGCAGAGGGAGCTGAGGGGCAATCAGCTTGGCGGCTGACAGCTGAGCAGTCAAGTTCTGAATGGCATCCATAATCTTGGACTGCTGAGCTGCCAGGTCGTCAACCCGCCGCTCCAAACGCTCAAAGCGGTCATCCCAGTTCGTAAAATAGAAACTGGTGATCTTGTGCTCCAGGATGATAGTCTCTGCCAGGTGTTTAGTCACCTGTGCACAACACTCATCTGTGAGCACCTTGTCTAGCTGCTGTAACAGATAGTCCCTTCTGGAATTATTTGTTGCAGCCTCTAGCTCAGCTGCCTCCTGACGTTCCAATTCTGCAAGGCGTTCCTGTTGACGCCGCTGTTGTTCTTGCAGCTCCTTCTTTTCCTGCCGAGTAGCAGTCAGAGGTGGAGAAGGAGGAGTGGAGGTTGAAGGCTGTTGACCTTCCACCTTCATCACAACTTCCACCTGTGGCTGCTGCTGAGCCCCATGGTCCGACATTTTCCGATTTCAAAATAATAAAATAAAAGCAACAACCTGAGTGTGCAGCGATAATCAGATTCCTTCAGACACCCTAGAATCGCTGCAAAACTCAGACACTGGAATAGGTGGGTGTATAGGCACTCAGCGGTTTGGGTTGGAAGGGTGTCTCTGGGTCAGGTGTCAGACAGACTGTAAGTCCAGCAAAATCATACACACGATTTCCTTTTATTGACCCTGCACCATACTAGAGTTAGTAGAGTCATTCCATCACTCTTCCAGAGACCCACTCGATTTCCAGTACCCACTAGAAAACAAGTGTAATCGGTGAGAATGATAGATATGGTTAGTACAGACAACAGAGATCAATCACCACAAGCGATTCAGACAGATACCTTGTATCCTGACTCAGACTCTAATCTTTACCCTGATGACATTGGCGGCCATACCCTAGGGTACGGCGAAATACAGTATTCACTGTATCCAGTGAAATACTGTAAATCCAAACATGCGATTCTGCAGTATTGCCTATTTTCAATTTGCGACTTACTGGGGACTGACAAATTTGAATTCTGACAGACAGAATTGAAGTTATGACTGACCCTAACTAGCACAGGCTATAAATAGACTCAGCGCAAAACTGGAATTCACAGTATCACTACCTTTCCAGTACAGAATTCACAATTTGAGCATCCCATAATAATCACAATGCAGTAAGGCAGTCACAAAACAATTTTGGATTGAAAAGAGTCAATAGAGGGTTAAAAATGAGCAGAGAGAGGTAGGGGAGAGATGGCTATGGCTGTCATACAATCTGCGATTTTCACATACAGTCACTGACAGACAGATAGACCATTATAATTCACTAATCTAATCCTATATGGATCGCTATGCAGGTAGGTGCATGGAACGAACTCACTTTCATAGAATCTTGCAGGTGATGATGAAGATCTGGCTATGGCAGATGATAACCCTTATCTCGCCAATTCCTTCCAGATATTCCTCCTGACAATCCCACGCACAGAACTGCTCCAAACTTGTTGATCCTCCTCAGGATCCTGTAGCGCTGCACTCCCTTAACCCAGATGCACTGTATCTGGTCCTGTGGCGCCCAATATGCCCACACCAAAATATCTCGCCACAGTGCCTAGTAGCCGCTGATGCTAAAAATAGCCCCAGATGGGGTTATTTCTCCTGGAGATTGATACAGACTATCAATCTCTACCAGCGCTACCCAGGGATGATATCGCTCAGGGTTCCCTGATGTCCTCAGGTGTAATTCGCCTTTCCGGGGTAATTCGCAACACTACCCTGAGGGTTGGCTATGGCGAATTAGCCCTGTACTCGCCACCTCTTGACAAGCGCCCTGATAGGCTCAGTACGCTTGCTCAGTACAATCACTAAGCACCTGAATCCACCGCTAAAAGTTTTCTTCCCTGCTGACTCAGTACCAGGGAAGATGAATCGCCATGAAACTCTCACCAGTATGTTGCCAGATGAAGATTATGCCTCAATGCGCTCAACCCTCAGTGTTCCAAATCCAATCCCAGCTCCGATACCAACTGTTATGATCTTGGTTGTCTGACGAATTTTATCGCCACTCACACACAGACAGTCTCATACATGCCCATACATGCATAAGAGAAGGGGAGAGAGGAGACAGAGTCCAAACTGCACACAGGGGAAAGTAGGCAGCGAAAGGCAATCATGCACAGATGGGGAGAAGACACACAGTGTATTTCACTCTCTGACGAAACTCCCAACAACCAATCACAAGAAAGAACCTGCGAGGATAACAATTGAAATTGCACTGATGATGAGCCAACCCAAACGATTATCGTAACAGAGTTTGTTCCAATAGCTCGCCACCCTCAGAATTCATACCCTACTCTCTATCCTACACCCAGTTAGTAGCGCCACATCAGAATGGCCTCCCAGAGGCCAGCGCCAACCACCCTGATGAAGAACAGATCCTGCGATGAAGTCTTCAGTGTCGGTGGACAACTCTGACGAAGGAACAGGCAGCTATGGCTGCCACCACCCACAATTACACAGTGCAGAGCCTCGATGTAGCCCGGCCAGACGCAGATACCCCAAGGGTAGATGCGTTGAGGATGCCGCAGCTATGGCAGGCTCAGACTGGGCCGGCTATGGCGGCGAGGTCTCAGGATGCTGCCTGCAGACCAACTCCGCCACCAACTTGCTTGGCTTCGCCAACCCTGCTTCGTGAGAAATGAACTGCCAAAAGTCCTGAACCGATGGGCCTAACCTATCTATAGACTACACTAGACCTAGACCGGACTGACTGACCGACCGGTACCGTTGCTGCTTCGGCCTCTACTAGACCCGGCTATAGGCTCTAGGACCGTCTATCAGTATAGGCCACTTAGGGCCTGTCTGTCCTAGGGGTAGCCCGGGCCTGCTATACGCAGTTAGGGTAGCTGTTGGAATTCGAGTTAGTACTGGGCCTATTTTCCCCCAGATTTGCAGATATGTCCCTCACGAATTTCCTTACAGGTAGGTCTCTCGGTTAGCACTCAGCCAAACAAAATTGCGAATCTAACCTACTGCTGTACTATACAGCCTCGCAGTCAGTCCCGGCAGTCAGAATCAGCAAGTCATTGCAGCCCGAATGAGCCCACCAGTGGCGAGCTCTTTCCTTTATGGAAAGTGATCGCTCAGTTTGCTTTCTGGCTGGGCCTCATGTGTTTCCAGTGGCTTCTGATTGGGCCAAAGTGTCTGCGCCCAGGCCCATTCAGACAGTGGCCTGGGACTGAATAGGTTAGGCCTGCCGAACCACCCAAGTGGAAACGTCAGGTTCTCCCTGCTTCGCCTGCGCTGCTGGAAGAGCCTAGAAGGCTGACAAAATATTTCTTATTCTCACGAGTATGGAGGATGTAACCGACTGGTGCATGGCAACTGTCTGGCGTCCACCAAACTTTGCCAAAATTGACAAACTCAGGTCATATTGAAATTCAGGGGCCTGCCTTCACTTAGGGCAGGATCATGCTTGCTGAAAAGGCCCCACAGGAGCATGACAAGGAGCTAACTCGTAACAAGGCCTCGTCAAAGATCCATGCCCACGCAGGGGTTGCAATAGGCTCTGCTTGGCCTGGAATCATATGCCTATACGCAGGCATTGCCACACATTTGCAGGCCCGCCTTCACTTAGGACGGGCACGGCCTTTCGGAACACTGCCGAGGGACCAAATCCTCGCACAAAMAAGGTTCAAAAAAAAAAAAAAAAAAAAAAAAAAAAAACAACGAACTGCGTGCGGACACAAACGACTGCATGCCAACAAACACCCACTCTCGCTCTCACTCAGGTACTTTCTCTCTCTCTCTCTCTCTCTCTCTCTCTCTCTCTCTCTCTCTCTCTCTCTGTGTGTGTGTGTGTGTGTCTGTGTGTGACAAACTCAGGTATGATGGGCCTTGCCGCAGTACTGAAAGGATTCACGCTGCAGACATCCCGAGTTCCAATTCCCGGGTCCCGAAACGTCCCAGTCCCAGGATGTCCCAGTAGGGCAGGTGGTAGGGTCCAAAGGCGGAAGCGTCGTAGGCCGGTAGGTGTCGGTACTGAAACATCGTAGGTCGGTAGAAGTCTGTCCGGCACCCGACAAGAAAAGTCTAGTCCAGTCCAACAGTCCCAAGTCCAATTTTACAGCATGGCCCAGGAAAGTCCGGAAGTGACCGGACCGACAAAATGATTGCAGCAGACAGGCTGCGGCCTATCGGTACTGGTCTGAAGCAGGACAAGCCAAGTCCTATATTTAGCTGCTACAGTGCAGTGGCTCATCACCTGTTCAATTGCAAGATGGAGAAGCGCTGCTTGCTGCTAGTGCGTTAAGGCAACTTGGGCGCTTCGCGCCTGAAGGAGGAAGGGGGCGCTTGAGAGTTACTTCATAGCTAGGGTAGAGGGAGATAGGAAGGAGGACGGCCATAGCCACCAAGTGTGAAGCTTACCTGAGTGGGTGTATCCAGGGTTACGATCTAGGGTAGAGACCGATGGTGAGGCAGAGTGAGCCAAGTCAGAGGGAAGAGTGAGACTGCAGAGAGAGAGAAGCCTTAGCCGTCATCCGGTTGAGATCAGTTCTGAGTGTATAATAATGATAATTTGGCGACGGCTTCCACATGTGTTGATTGTATCTCAGCTTCGGCTTCTCATGTGTGAACTCTCGTGTGAATGTGCATTGATGTATGCGAGGTGAAACTTGATGAGAACTTGGGTCATTTCAGTGGTATCAGAGCTGGTTCCCGCTGCATCCACTTGGAGTTGAAGCGCTGGTAAGTAAGAAGGCCGGCAGGGGAGAAAAAAAAGAAAAAAAAATCGGGGTCTGATTGTGAGGTGAGAGCCGAAGAAGGGGCAGAAGTGAGAGGAGTGTACCTGCGAGCGAGGAGCATTGTCAACGGAGCGCCATCAAGACGAGTGAAGTGCTTTTAGCCCTGGCCTTGTCAATTCTGCATTGTTTTGTTGCGAGTGGTATCTTCCGACGAATTTTCCAGAAGACCTCTGCTGCAATTAGGTCAATTCTCGTTGATGTCAGTTGGTTGCACTTATTGTTGTCAATTTTGGTCTGCTTGTTGGCTGGTGAGTCAGAGACCGATCTCTCCTGGAGGAAAGGCTCCTCCCCTTGTGGAGAAGTGGTTAGTGGTTGTCGGCCTACCTGGGGGCATGCTTACCCAGTGGGACCCTAGCCCAGTGAGAGAGATGTTTCGTGTATGAGTAGGCCGGTCTAGGGAAGGAACTCGCCAGCTGGAGGTATCCCTAGACAAAGTAGGAAGCACAAGCAAGAGCGACGGGCGCTTGTAAAACAACCCTGATATGCCCAATGACCGACGTGGACCAGCGTACAACTGAAAGTCAATGGGACGTAGTGAGGAGTTTTAGAGGTCTGGTAGAGATTTGGCAGCTGTCTTGCGCGCAGGCAAAGAGTAGCGGTGAGACGTAAGGTCCACCAGGGAAGGAAGCCAGGGAAATCCATCAAGGAGAAGTACTGACCGGCTGGTAGCCCATCTGGTGGTAGTTATACCTGAACCCTGTGGCGCACAGTGAGGAATCTGTCTAAGTCTTGAGAGCATGCCTTTGATTGGTGGCCACAACGTCCTGTTGCGTCGTTAAAGAATCCTTGAGGTTCGTGCTGGCAGACCTTAAGCAGGTGGTTGGTCACCACTCATTTAGGCAAGCTGAGGTAACGTCATGGGGAAAGGAAATAGACTATCAGATCGTGATTTAGGTTGAGGTTAGTGTAAGTAGCGAGGAATAAGTGTTGAGGTGTAGGTCTAAGTGGTGAAAGGGCGGAGTCTAGCTTACCTATGCCATCCCTCATCATGGATGACTACCCCATGTTTGGCTTCTTGGCCTTGTTCATGATAAGGGGGTTACCTGCGCCATCCCGCTACTTCGCTTCCTTTTTCCGCTGGGTTTTTGTTACGGACTCAGCTAGGGCTCGATCCCTATTCCGCGGGTTACCACTCACCAGGCTGCTATTTCGTTTTTGGGTCTCTGTTCTCAGGCCCCTGACTGTTGGCGCCCTCTGCAGTTGGCGCCCGTTCTGAAATTCCTCTTTTGGTACTTTCGGATTTCGATACTTGGCGCCATCCGGCATTCTGGCACCCAGACTCAGACCTTCGATTTTCAGTTCAGCCCTGAGGCAATTTGCAGTTCTGCCCTCCGGTACTCAAGCGCAGAGTACGGACGGCCAGTTTTCCGCTACAGTGCTTGCTTTGTGTGACTTGCCCCTCCGGCATTGAGATTCGAAGACTTCGAGTTTGAGACTCCGCTACTTTGTCTGCGTCCGTCGAGTCCGTCAGTCTTGTCCAGTGAGTGAGTGTGAGTGCTGTCTCTTATACACATCTAGATGTGTATAAGAGACAGTACTTGCACTTCTTCTGTTCCTTCAGGTGAAGGAA